CTCTTCCATCCTGGGGGGGGAAAAAAATCTATATACCCCGTGCACGAGTCTGGCCCGCAGCTGGGGTGTGGGGTTTGTAAAAACGAATATAACCCGCGGGTTTTATTCGCTAAAAGACAGTATACTATTACATCCCTAATGAGTTTGCCAACCATATGTCCTGGATTTTCCAGGACAGTCCATATTTTTAATACTCTGTTCTGGTGTCCCTAGCAAGTAATGAAATGTCCCGGATTTACAGGCCCATACTCAGGGAGAGTGCGAATGCACACCACCTCCACCTCCTCTGCTCCCCCGTCTCCTCTGCCATGGTTCTCCTGTCTCGCATGAGCAACATCTTTCCTGTGGTGTCCGCATGTTCATCACCCAGCCGCCAGCACTCCAAGGAGTCTGCACCGCGGGAAGGGGGATGAGGCCACCAGGATAGACAGGCCGGCAAGGACAGAATTTTGACAGGGCAGGGGGGGCAGCAGCCATGCACATTGCTCTGGGATGTGACTTGTGCTTTTTCTCCTGTTCTTCGGACACTAAGGTAGTGAGGGAAAAGTGCTTGCATTCTGTGCTTGAGTCTCATTCTTGGCTGGTGAACTCCCCTATGTATAAGTTCCCTTGCTTATACATTTATCCATTGTACTTAAAGACTATATTATAGTCCCAATGAAAAGCATGGATGTAGCTCATTTCAGTATATCGTAACCCATTCCTGGGTTGAGTAGTCTAGTTTCAATACCACTTCAATAATTTTCTGTCCTTATTCCTTTTTGGTATGCCAGAATGGAGTACATTATCCTGGATATGTAAGTTACTTTCTTGTAACCTATTTTAAGTGCTTTACAAAATATAAAAGTATATTTTGTAAAGTCCCTTATTAAAAGTTAGTAGTATAACTGTATTTTAGATAATTTCAAGTGTAATTTTTCCTCTGGCCACTAAAGGTACCTGCTCCAATGACCTACCCAGTGACTACACCTCAAGTGCCTGTGTATGGAATGGTAAGGAGCTCATTGTTAAAACTGTAGTGTCACACTTGTTAATGTAATTGTGTGTTGTTTGCTTGTCACATTGTGATATACTACTTATTCAGTTTATACTCCTTCCTTGGCACAGATTAAGACCTGAAAGATTAACTACCTGTTACTTCAGTTATTGTGCTGCTTTCCAGTATGTCACATACAGTACAACAACTGAAGTAACAGGTATGTAAGGTTTTACTTTCATATTTAATAATTAAAATATTCAATAAAATATCATAGACTGTTGGCTAAAAATAGCCTGATTTTTTTCAGCACAAAACATTCAATACTGAGTTTCCTGGATTAATGTATGCAGGGTTTTTTTTGTTTTTTTTAAATACTACTTTGACTGTTTTCTTATCTTTCTCTGTACCTTGCAGGTACCTACTCAGATTGGTGCTGCACCTTTAATGGCACCCCAGCCAATGATTTTCACACAGCCAGGTCTGAGGCCAACGAATCCCTTTGCACCTGTCCCTGGAACACAGGTAAACACTTTATATGAACTTAAAAGTTAAGGAAAAATTCCAGTGTTGAAGTGCATGATCTAATAAAAAACCAGCAACTTAGGATTCTAGTAGTTTTACAAGTATCTTTTTCTAGACCCCTTAAATTACAAATGTGTTTACTAATGGACCTCCTTGTTACTTTTGTATTGATCTCCTATGTTTTAACATGATTTAAAATTTTGCCATAAAGATTTAACCCTGATCAAAAAGGATACCTTAAGGAATAGAATGTGAAGTAAAACTGGCCTTTCTTCCTTCCCAGCCAGTGTTATCTTTCTGAACTCATTAGAGCTACAGTCATCTATTTTATGCTTGTAGGGCAGTAGTTCTCAAATTTTTCCACCCATGGCTCACCTGACTCCATGCAAACCCTTCCATGGACGGCCATTTGCTAATGGAAATTTGCTGTTAATTACATAATTATTCCTGAGCCTTTTTACAAGTGCTACAAGACCAGGGAGAGCGGTTTAATTTAAATTATTAAACAGATTAAGCATTTTAACTTTCTCATGTTAGTTTATCAAACTTCATTTTAAATTAAGTGAAATATTTTGTCCAACACAAAAGGTTTCAATGTTTTCTTTACTTATGGCAGGGGTGGGGAATCTTCTTTGTGCTGAGGGCCACTGACCCACATAAAAACCAGTTGGGGATCACACAAGTGAAGCAAAAATCTCCTCCAAAAACCTTCATCCGTCACTTACATGGCCCACAACTGACACACCTCACTCCTCTGACACTCCAGACCCATGTGATGAGGAGGAGGGACAGGGAGGACTGAGGTTCAGATTTCCTGTTCTGGGATTAGTGATTTTTGTGGTTCTGGGGTGGGGACAAAAATGAGGGGTTCAGTGTGCAGGACAGGGCTGCCATTAGTGGGATAGGGATGGATTGCAGGATCTGGGTGGAAGGTGGTGTGCGGGAGGGAGGGAGGTTGGGAGGGCGGGGTAAGGTGCAGAAGCAGGCTGGGAATAGGCTGTCTGGAAGGGAGGGGGCAAGAACAAAGGAAAGGTGCATGGTCAGGAGCCCACTGGAGGTGCAGGGTCTTGACAATGGCTGTGAGTGAGGAGGGTGTGAGCGTGCAGGGTGAGGGGCACTTACTTGCCTTTGCAACCCGCACTGCTCCCAGCACTGTGTCCCAGGCATGGCCTCCTTCTGCTCCCATTGACTGGATTCTGGCCAATGGGAACAGTGGAGAGAGTTTCCAGGCAGTGCATCCGTGCATTCTTC